CAACCTTTATGTATACAGGAATATAAATCCCTCTTGGCCAGAGGTACAGAATCACTTACCTATAAGGGGTTAATCAGTTCAATTAACCTAGTTGACACCTGACCAGAAGGACCAATGAAAAGAGGATACTTTCAAATCTGGGGTGGGAAGGAGGTTTTGTTTGTGCTCTCTTTGTTTGTTCCCTCTCAGACAGAGAGAGACCAAGCAGGTAAACCATCTCTTGAAAAGATACCTTGAAATGATACATCTAAAATTACAGAAATTGTAAGTAAAGGCAAGGAAATGCATTAGGTTATCTTTTGTTTTAGCCTGTAAATATTCCCTATGCTAAGAGGGAGTTTAATTCCTGTTTTTTGCAACTTTGAAACTATGCCTAGAGGTGAATTCTCTGTGTTTAAAATCTTTTTATTTACCCTGTAAAGTTACCTTCCATCCTGATTTTACAGAGGTGCTTCTTTTGCTTTTTTCTTTATAAAAAAGTTCTTCTTTTAAGAACCTGATTGATTTTAGTGTCCTAAAAATAAAAGGTCTGGTCTGTACTTTTATTAAAGGCAATTGGTTGCTATATTATTCTCAAGCCTCCCCAGGAAAGGGGGTGAAGGGCTTGGGGAATATTTTGGGGAAATAGGACCTCCAAGTGGTCCTTTTGTCTATATCACTTGGTGGTGGCAGCAATACCATCCAAGGACAAGGAAAGGAGCTGTGCCTTGGGGAAGTTTTTAACCTAAGCTGGTAGAAATAAGCTTAGGGGGCTTTTGTGCAGATCCCCACATCTGTACCCCAGACTTCAGAGTGGGGTGGGAACTCTGACAAGAGGTTCCTAGAGCAGTTGGGGAGGCACAGAGATTGTGGATAGGCCTAGCTAGCAGTGGATCACTGTGATCTGTGCATAACTTTGGGAATCCCTGGATCCTGGGTCCCTTTTCATTCCTCAGGGAGCAGGGAAGGGACCTTTCCTATAGGAATGATCTGAGGGATATTTCCATGTAGGGAGCCTTGTGGAATCTCCCTTCCCTGGCCTGCACCCTGGTTTGCAATGTAGGAAAGGGGGCTGCTGGGGCCAAACTGGTCCTATATTCTTATTCTTATTATTTTATTATTTCATTATAATTTATTTTATTTCATTTCAGCAAGAGCACAGTTGTGATACCATCATTGTTACCACTCAGCCACCCCCAAGGTATCCATGTGACAACTCAGAACTATACAAACAGTGATGAAAAGCCTGTATTCCAGGAATAGATTCTCTAGAAGGGCTGGCGCTGCAGTCCCGTTGGGTAGCATCACCTCACATCCCCTGTGATTTGGCCTCCTGCAGTTTGCCATTGGCCATAACGAGGGTTAGGGCTGGTGCACGCGAACTCATGCAACTGAGTTTCCCTGATGGCCAAGTGGCCCCCAAGGGAATGTGCAGGCATGCTTCATAAAGACAGCTGCCCACTTATCTGAACAGATACTGCCTGCTGCCTGTGCAACATCCTCCATTACTCCTTGTCCTTTAGGGTGAAGACCTCTGGTGTCAGTGACTCCCCTTCTAGCAGGAATTGGGTACATTGGAAGGTTTCAGTATCTTTAAAATGCGAAGTGAAGGGGAAAGGCTGCAAGCTGTTTCCATTTGTGGATGTTCTGTGCAGTAGCAGAGGATTCAGCTGGTCTGTCGGAGTGTCTCAGTAACAGGGGCTGGAGGGCAGGCAGCACTAGGTAGTTTGGGAACCCCTCCCCTACATCTGCCCATGGTCCTCGGTGAGTTGTTCAAGCTACACAGAAATCTGGGATTCAAAATGAGCTCGGAGTGTTAAAACCCCAAAGCCCTGAGTCAGGATTTCTCAAGGGGTCCCATTTCTAGAGGTGCCGTGTGCTCTAGTGCCGATCCTGCCGGGGCTGAGCGAGAGGAGACCGGACAGAATATAAGTGACTAGTTCCCAAATCACCTCAGGTTTATTTGCTCCTCGAAATTTAATCATCAAATGCATTTTCAAACGTTTTATTCTCCAGGTTAATTGTGAATGCAGGAATTCAGAGCTGATTTGCTGTGCGGTAAATGGTCCGATGGGGCATATTTCTATTTCCTGACTGGATGAGAGCTCTAGAATATCCGTCCTGAAGATATCCCTTAGACTTCCCAGGCTACCAGCATCATTTCTCCCTCTCTGATTTCCAAGTTCCACATGTAAAGGCTTCATACCCTGCCCTCTCATGGGATGGCATCCCATGCTGCTCCCACCCTCAGACAGGCCCCAGGGGTACAGCACACTGTGGCTCGACTGTGCTTACCCTGCAGGTCCGGGTGGGTTCGGCACCTGTGGTTCTTCCCTTTGGGAGGATGTGAGTAGTGGTGAGACGAGTGACCAGCCAGCCTTCTTGAACCAAAGTTCTGTTTAATGTCAACTGTAGGAATAAAGCGTAACATGGGAGAATGAGAGGGTTTTCAAAAATCAGTCTGAACACATTTGACTCCAAACTCTACCACTCTAACGGGGACCCAGACAGGCCGTGGGCCTTCCAACTTCCCCAGCGGTTTCTGTGCCTGTCAGTCTGAAAAGTTGCTCAGCAACAGCTGCCCCACCTCTCTACAGACTCCCAGAAGTGGCAAAACAAGCTGGGTAACATGGCTAGAGCCTGGAAATAGGCTCTTCCTAGATTGTAGCTACAGTATTGTCTCTCATCCTCCCTGAAGTTCTGACTGAGAGATGTTTTTTCTTCAGCTGTCACTTCCCATCCTGTTTGTTTTCCAGCAGCATGATATTAAATTAAGAAGAGCCATACTGGTTTCACCCAATGTAGCCATAACAGAACCATCCCAGTAGTTAACCCAAGATAGCTATAAGCAAACATCCCAAGAACTCGGTTTAACCTACATATTTCTTATGGTATCTCAGCTCCATATCTGTCCCAATACCGTTTTAGGGAGCTACGTATTTTAGGAATACAGGACAGAGACAGTGAGAGAATGAGAGAGAGAGAGCAATAGACTACTTTCCTGTATTTCCATAAATACTCATGCATTTGACTTTGAAATCCACTTCCTGCAAACCTCTTTGTGCCTGAATAACAGGTGCCGAGGGTACTACGTACCAGAGACTGACAGCTCAGGGAATAAATATTTTATATACTGATCCCGATGCCTGTTACCACTCCGGATACTGGCTGCAGACTGACAGAACAGAACCTGAGGAGAACCAGTCAGCTAATAACCCAGGGACAGAGGGGCTACAATACCTTGCCGACAAGAGACTGAATGAGGGCTGAGACATGCAATCTTTTCAGGTTCTGAAGAAATCCAGATGACAGACGCTGCATTTTAAGTCCCACTCTAACCTGAGAGATCATCTCTGAAAGCAGATCAGATGGGAAATAAATGGTGGACATGTGTTTACTAAAATACAGATATGTAAATGTTATGAGAAAACTTTTCATTGTAATACAAATATCAGAAACCAAACTTCCATGACATGCCTGTATATCAAGAGCCAGAAGGAGAGTTGTTGGAATACTTACAGGAAAAGACAGTGGTAACTCTACTGCTTAATGGCTTTTGCTTTAGAAAGTATTATAGAAGTTCTCCACATACTGTTTGCAATGGCTTTGTGCTATTAACCCTTTGTTCAGTGGAGACTTGTATGATTCCGCCCCCTGGTAACTGAGCAGTAGCTGTTTCTAACACTTACATTCAGGGTCAAGAACACAATCCCTGTGCAATAAATGTGCAAGACTTTCCAAAAAGTCATGAGAGACCAGAACCACTGGTCTATGTTTCAGGAGAGTAGAGCTGAGGTGCAGGAAAGGAGAGTGTAATAGTGGTTGTATATAATTTGCACCCACTACCACTTACATGAGCAGGGCTGAAGTAACTTGCACACTCAAGTCACTTACTTACAGATAATAGTGCAAATCTAATGTTTTCACTATTCATCCATATGTGTCGTTATCCCCATATCCGCCCAATTGAAGTAACTGTCTGTGTTAGCTTGTAACTTGCCAAATATCTACAGACCATTGCATGGGGAGAGGATGCAGGTCCTGTGAGGATGAAGAGAAGGCCGTAGGATGATTGAACTCTCTGGATTCAGTCAACATAGGCCAGGCAAAGCACTTCAGCTTCCCTTGGATGGATTTTTGGGAGTCAGAGCGTATCACCAGGAGCATTTGGTAAGGGACAGTTAACAGCCCTGTTCTGGTTGAATTTATACGTATAAATCTGGGGTGATGACATTCAAGGCAATGTTATTGAATTCAGAACTTGTGCCTAAGATTGTATCTCATGTACTGCAAAGAGGCAGTGGCTTAATTTGCACTCTCAGGAGTAGAGAAATTTAAAAAGTATATACAATGAGACAATGGAACACGTTTATAAATAGCTTCAGTGCAGGACAGATAAATACAATTAAAGTTTTTTCCATGCACTTGCCATGTGTTTACGCACATCTCATAATACAATGGACCACACTCAGAAGTGTAGGGGCAGAAAGAGTGTCTGTGGGAAAGTCACAATTGTAAAATCACACAGCACTGAAATAGACTGTGGAACTCCCAGCCACGAGATATCAATGGGACCAGGAGTTTAGCAGCATTCAAAGTGGGACTGGATGTTTATATAGCTAGCCAGAAAATCCAATGAGAATAGTGAGGATTGTTACAAAAACTCTTTCATGAATTCTAAATCTTCCTGTTTTGCACCACAAAATTTGTCTAATTAGTGGGTGCAGGTTATTTCTAAGCTCCCTATTGCAGGGTGTTTTCCACTTCCTCTGAAGCATCTGGAACCGGTCACTGGATACTAGGCTAGATAGACTATGGGTCTGATCCACTCTGGCAATGCCTATCTTCCTATTTGTTGTGTAAATCCAAGACTGTGTTTTGGCTGATCTTCCTTGAGCTCCTGGGAGTCTTTAGACTTGCACTGAGAGCAGAAAGGTATCTCATTAAATATCATCCAGTCTCCTGTTCTTTTTCCTTTTAGGAAGGAAAGTTCAGAACTCCTTGGACCTGCCCAGTACATTATGTCAGCTGTCAATGACACCAACTTCAACTCTGCAGTGTTCCTTCTCACCGGGATACCTGGGCAGGAAAAGGTCCATCTCTGGATCTCTATCCCCTTCTGCTTAGTGTATGTTATATCCATAGTAGGAAATTCAGTCATTGTGTTTATTATAAAAACAGATCCAAGACTCCATGAGCCCATGTACATTTTCCTTTCCATGTTGGCCGTCACAGACCTTGGCTTATTGATATCCACTATGCCGACGACACTGGATATATTCTTGTTTAACTCTAGAGAGATCAGCCTCGATGCCTGTTTTGCCCAACTGTTCTTCATCCACTCGTTTGAATGCATTGAATCCTCTGTGCTCTTGTTGATGGCCTTTGACTGCTTCATCACGATCCGTGACCCGCTGAGATATGCTTCCATCTTAACCCTGCCAAGAATAGGCAAGATGGGACTGGTGTGTGTGCTAAGAGGGGTGGCTGTTATGCTCCCACTCCCTATTCTCCTTCAATGGTTCCAATATTGTCGATCCAATGTCCTCTCCCATTGCTACTGCATAAACCAGGACGTCATGAAGATGGCTTGTTCAGATATCAGAGTAAACAGCATCTATGGCTTGTCTGTTGCTCTCTTGATGGAGGGGTTGGACTTGCTGCTCATCTTTCTCTCTTATGTGATGATCCTCAAAACAGTGCTGAGTATCACATACCAGGTGGAGTGCCTCAGGGCCCTGAACACCTGCGTCTCCCACCTCTGCACTGTCCTGCTCTTCTACACACCAATAACTGGCCTGTCTCTGTTACACAGACTGGGGGATGGCTTTTCTGTCTTGCTTCAGATTCTCCTGGGCTACATTTCCCTACTTGTCCCTCCCCGATGAATCCCCTTGTGTACAGCGTGAAAAGCAAACACCTTCATGCGAGGATAATCAGGGTGTTCGTCAAGTGAAGGGTCAGTTCATCATCCCGCTCCAGCATTGATGACATGGAAGATGAAAAATACCGGCCGTCTATTTCATCCTGGACCCTTAAATCCGAGACAACATGCACTACTGATCTCCACTATGTAGAGACATGTTCAAAAGGGGTCTAAGGCTTGGAGCAATTGTAGAGTGACTGGTGAGGGAGGACAGTGCACGGGGGGAAGAAGACCAAGGCAGGCAGCAGCATTTACAAAGTGAATTTGTTCGTTGAGAGTCAGGTGCCTGGTTGGATGTTGGCTCATAAAGAACCGTATCGGTGCCTGCATCAACCTCAGAATTCCTGTTGATACAGTCAGTAAAGAAAAGGGAGGTGGATGTTGTTTCCCATTGCCCTGGCCTGTCACTGTCCCGTCTGTGGTTAAACATTCACGGGCCATGAAAAAAAGTGCAGAGCTGTTGTGCTGTCACAGTCCTGGCCCTTTCTGAGCGCTCTGTGTGCTGCATAATGCATGGGGTCTGCATCAACTGTGGACAGGGGCTATTCAAGGGGCACAGACACCCACCCTTCCCCTACGCCCTCAGCCAAGTGCTTGTGACTGAGTCATGTCAGACACATGATTAATGCAGGAACCTCAGGAGAAGCCAATCAGGCAACCTCCTTACCCCTTTTCATGGCTCTGCACAGAGCACATCTCTGAGCCCACTCCCCACCATGGCAGAGCAGAGCGGCGTGTGTGAGTGAGGGTCTGACACACAGAAGTCCTGGCAAGCGACTCAGGCCCAGGTTCACTCCTCCTCCCCGCCATTTGTGCTGACCCAACAATGAAAAGGGATGGAAACAGGCCTCATCTCCCCCACAGAGGCACAGCTAGCTCCTATCCCAGCCCAGCCCATTCACTGTAGGGTGACCACCTTTTCAAAATCAAAAGAGGGACAGAGGCAGGACCCACACCCCATCTGTGATGCTGCCTCTGCCCCTCTTCTTCCCCCGTGAGGCTCCACTCTCTGCTCCTCCTCTTCCCCCAAGGCTCCACCCCCTCTCCAGGGCAGAAGCTAAAGCTGGGTCATTGTAAAAAGTTCCCGCTGAGCTAGAGCCACTGTGGGGAGCACCATATCCTCCAGCTGCCCTGGACAGAGGGTGTGGGGCCCAAGAGAGGCCGCCAGCCTGTGTCCCTGCCTCCCAGGATGCACCCCAGGGAAGGAGGAGAGTCTGGGGCTCCCCACAGCAGCCTGGGCTCCAGGGGTAGCTCTTTCCATGGCCCGGCTGGTGCCCAGGCTGGGGGGGGGGGGTAGTGGAGCCTCAGGGGAAGTGGAGGATTAGGGGGAAAGGCCTAGTGGGAAGAGATGGGGTAGGGGGCACAGGATGGGGGGCGGAAAAGCAGCAGGGGTTGCGGCAAGCCTGAGCCAATGCTCACCCCAAAAAGGAGTTTGGTGAGGGGCTGAGTAAAGGAGGAGGATGGGGCCATGGGGTAGGAGACCTTGTGTTTTAGAGAAGGCTGAGTTAATGCAAACCCATACAGGGGGCTTTTGTTTTATGTACTCCAGGCTGAGAGTAAGTCATTGCAAGGACCTTAGAGGGAAGGGCAGGGTGTTTTCAGGGCTACCTCAGGCCACAAACGGGCACCCTGGGGTGGTCCCCATCCGCAGGGACTTAGCCAGAACTCTTGAAAGCTGTTACCACTGGGCGGAGTTTAGCTAAGCCCCTAGGCTACTCTTAACCCCACTGAGGCAGGGGGAGAACAGGCCAACGAATCAAACCACTATAGCTGGCTCTTTGCCATCCCTGCTCTCTACTGCGAAGGTGGGAGCTCTGCTGGTGTAGCAGAGAATGCAGCCGTACTTCTCACCACTATGATGGCTGGAAGCCTGGCCATGAGGTCTGGGCACTGCTCTGTGACTGAAGAGAGCTGGGTTTTAGCCCTTTGCCATGTGTGACCATGGACAAGCCATTGGCTGTCTCTGAGCCTCTGCACAGGTGGATAATAGCCCTGCCCTGCCTCACAGTGTTGACAAGAGGATAAATACATACAATGTGCTCAGATGCTCTAAGACACTGAGATCGGGGCTATGTGAGGGGTTAAAAAGGGCAACACCTCTGACATTTGTTTATGAAAGGTTTCTTACCACAGCCCCTGTGACAGCTGCTTCTGGAAAACCCCATGACTCCAGCACTTTGGTGTCTGCAGCAGATGTTGGAGTGCTTGGAGGTGACAGTGAAGGGTAAGAATTGGATTTCTGAGAGGAGTTTTAGACCCTTACAGAGTCGCTCAGCACAGCCACTAGACCCATGTTTGAGATCCATTGAGGCAGAATGGGTCTAACTGCCAAACAAAGGGAATAACAGACACAGGGGCCTTATCTTAGACATCTGGCTGGGAGAAAGCAGTCTGGCAAAGGTCAGCTTCACACCTTGACCCTTTAACATGGACACGGCTGAGCACTATGGTGACTGGGTCCAGGATCACACAGGTTTCAGCTAAGTCTGATTCCAAAAGAAAGGGGCAAATAGATGGGAAGGTGCTCTCAGATACGCAGGGAATCTAGGCTTGGTCCCAAGAGCTGCTTAGCTTCCCAAAAGAATGTAGGTTGGGCCAGTTCTGTTTCTCTGTCTCCACAGTGAATCCTGTATAACTTAGTTTGTAGTGATACGTGAGATAGAGAAGTATAGATATGTGACAGCTGCCTGTTACTTTAAAAGAATTTTCCCTAATGCTTTGTGCTGTTTGCCAATAAAACTACTAGATTTTAGGAGGCTCGGTGTGACTGTCTAGCCCTGGTCACAAGCACCCGAAGGGAAGAGAGTGAGGTGTCCATCTGGACTTTCTTGGTGATAATCATTTAGAATAGATGAGGTGTTGTTCTCAGGTCAAAGAGTGGGACAATTGTGAGATTCCCCCCAAGACAGGAAAGGACTGGGTTTAGAGCGTAAAGAGACCATATATCCTGGCATAACCATGACAATCCTGATTCTTCTTGGCCAGCATATATAATTGTTTAGTGCCTATCAGCATACAAATTAGTGACGTCTTCAAGTTGCATCCAAGGTAAGGATTGTTTCAAAATAATGATTCATAGAGTCATAGAATTTAAGGCCAGACAGAGCCATTAGGTCATCTAGTCCAGCTACCCCCTGCTCCATCCCCCGGTCACTAGCTCGAGAGAGGAAGGATGTTTCAGGGGTTAACATGCTAGCCTGGTACTCAAAAAACTGGCTTCAGTTCCAGGCTCTTCCACAGACTTCTTCTGTGACCGCGGGCAACTCACTTGGTGCTTCAGCAATATGTGTTTTAATGTGGCTCAATATAGAGATTCACATCTAGGAACAAGGGACACTGGCCATCCTTAGCGGATGTGGGACCCAATCCTGGGAAGCAGTGACTTTGAAAAAGACTTGGGGGTCAGAATTGGCTGAATCTGAGCTCCCAGTGCGGCGCTATGGAGGAAAAAGCTAGTGCAACCCAGAATGTACAATCAGAGTAATCTCAAGTAGGGGTAGAGAGGTCATTTTCTCTTTGTATTTATCACTGGTGCAACCACTGCTTGGATCATCTGTCCAGTTGTCCAGTTCTGGTGTGTACAGTTCAAGAAGGACATTGATAAATTTGATAAGGGTTCAGAGAAGAGCCCAGAGAATGATCAAATTATATTGTTTTTAAAATCATGGTAATTAACCATTGAAATCATTTACCAAGGGCCGTGATAGATTCTCCATCACTGACAATTGTTAAATCAAGGCAGGATGTTCTTCTAACAGCTCTGCCCTATGACATATTGTGAGGCAGGTCTCTGGCCTGTGCTATACAGGCGGTGAGACTAGGAGATCACAGTGGTACCTTGTAGCCTTTGGATCTGACCAGTGGTGTTGGTAGCACTGCCCTACCGCACAGGGTGTTGTATTGATAAATATGTTAGAGATTGCGAGGCACTCGGACAATGCAATGATTGGGGCCACAGCTAAGTGCCTAACGGAGATTTCAGCTCTATATTCCTCTGTATTGGGGCACTGGTTGGAGAACCTGAACTCTTCCCAACACCCCTTGGTGATAAGACCTGTCATTAGCACAGCACTCTTTGACGAGGGAGTTCTGGGTCCGTCCTGCAGCTCGGCAGTAAGAGGAGGCATCAGGATGTTCTTTCAGAGAGTGAAGGATTGGAGAGCAGTGTCTGGCCCAACAGAGCCCTGCTGGGCAGGCCACCCTCACATTGCTCTGGGGGTGACACAGCTAGTGTCTCCAGACCCTGTTATCAGCCAACACGACACCAGGTAGTGCCACACACCCAACTGAGCTACCTGAGTGCTTTACCTAAGCCACTCATGCACTAATAGGAGACAACAGCCAATTTACCAGCTCCCCAGCCTTGTACCCTTGCTGCAGAATAATCCCAGAATTATACTGTCTTGCACTGCACACGTATCTGTACAATGCAAACTCGTTAGGAGAGGTCACTTTCCCCTCAATGAATCATAGAATCATAGTAGGTAAGAGTTGGAGGAGACCTCAGGAGGTCATCTAGTCCAATCCCCTGCTCAAAGCAAGACCAACCCCAACTAAATCATCCCAGCCAGGGCTTTGTCAAGCTGGGCGTTAAAGTGCTTCACCACCCTCCTAGTGAAATAATGTTTCCTATTATCCAACCTAGACCTCCCCCACTGCAACTTGAGACCATTCCTCCTCGTTCTGTCATCTGCCACCACTGAGGACAGCCGAGCTCCATCCTCTTTGGAACCCCCCTTCAGGTAGGTGAAGGCTGCTATCAAATCCCTCCCCCCTTCACTTTTCTCTTCTGCAAACTAAATAAGCCCAATTCCCTCAGCCTCTCCTCATAGGTGATGTGCCCCAGTCCCCTAATAATTTTCTTTGTCTTGCGCTTGACTCTCTCCAATTTGTCCACATCCTTTCTCTAGTGGGGGACCGAAAACTGGATGCAATAATTCAGATGTGGCCTTACCACTGATG